GGGAAAAGGGGGGGGGGGGGGGGAAGCGTGGCTGTTTGCCCCGGGGCAAAATAACGCGTGGTTGCGCTATCAGACCTCCCATGGAGGTCCTGTGGTTAGGGGGAGGTGCAGATCACACGGCGCGGAAAAGAAGCGGGGCTGTGCGCTGAGGGAAGGCGAGGAGGGGGCTGCCAGAGAAAGCCGGCCAAGCGGCGCTGGGGAGAGAAGGGGCCAGCGGCCGACTGGGTGGTGCGGCGTCGCATCGGGCACGGCTTTTTCCCCACCAGTGAGGCAGGCAGGGGGCGGGCTTCCCGGCATTGCCCCCCCTTCCCCAAGCAGACTTTCTACTCTGCCGCCGCGGCCCCCCCTCTTCTGGGCTTCGCCTCAGCCGCTTTATCTTCTGCCTTGCCCCCTTTCCCCCTATCTGTTTCTCTCTCGCCTCAAGCCGTGCGTTTCTTCTGGCTGCCCTCCTCTTCTCTGCACGACTCAAGTCTTAGCGAGCTGCTAAGTTGTGTTTTTTAAAAAAATTAAAGTGTGCGCATGCTCCGTTGGGTGCTTGTGCGCATCCATGGAGACTTGGGGGGGAAAAAACACCTTTTTGTTAGGGGACATGGGCGGGCGCCGGAACTACCTCCGGAAATGTGATCAGACGCCCGCCCTTGCCCCGCAGTTTCAGGAAACTAGTACCTCCGAGGTACTAGTTTTTTAAACCGCATTTTCGGCGGGAAGCCTCGGGTGCGCCACGGGAGCTCTACACTTCCCAGATGTGGTGGTGAGATCGCGCCCGGAAAATCCGTCTCTCTAGCGTGGCTAATGTTCCGTGTTGACCGCAGCCAAAGATGGAAATAAAAACCAGGAGATTAATTGAACCCTTAATGGTTAATTTTATATTTAGCTTGGTAGATCATAGCTTGTGCAGACCTCATCTAGTGAAATTCTGGCTTACAGATTCAGGTTTGGGATTTCAAGAAGAAATTGTTGAATTGACCAGTTGACTATTAAAATACTTCCCTCTCTAAAATTAGGTCTTCGGGAACATACTTATGAGACCAAAGCTGAAACCATGACACTTCTAGAGTTGTCTTTTAAAAAAAACTAGAATAGCTTTTAAAGGCTATTTAGTTTCTTTAGATTTATACTCTGAATTTAAAATACATCCTATGGCATCTGCACACAAAGTCGTTTATCTTGTGAAGGTCATCTACTCTGTTGTGTTGTGTGCTGCATCCTGTTTGCAACTATTTTTTTTCAAGTGAGCAATCCTTGTGATGATCAAAACGTCCTTTAGGTGTTGCGTGAATAAGCATACACTATCTCTTTTTCAAGCTTTGCTGTGCAGTGCCACTATGGCAATGATAGCTGCAGCTACATATGGCAATAATAGTTGTAGCCAGTTCAGTAGTACCACCCTATCTTGTTTCAGGCAGACATTTTAGAACAACAATTGTGTGTTTCATGGTACAGCGATAAGTTTAGTAGCCTGCTTTGGCTTACAGTTGTATCAGTGTGGAAAACTGGTTTTACAAGAGATCCACAATCTCCAGACCCTTTTTTTAATGGGATCATATTCCAAATGATTTTAGTTAGTGTCTATATGGAAAAACATCAATCACTGAGAAGGCCCAGTAACAACTTTGTGTGTGAAGTGAGCGGCACTGAGTTCTTTGTATCTTCAGTTGATCTTGGGCTGCAGAGGCTGTGAAGATGTCTTAAAGGTAAAGGTTCCCTTGCTTGAAAGCCAGTCGAATCCGACTCTAGGGTTGCTGTGCTCATCTCCGTTTCAAAGCCGAAGAGCCAGCGCTGTCCGAAGACGTTTCCATGGTCATGTGGCCGGCATGACTAAACACCAAGGTGCACGGAACGCTGTTACCTTCCCACTGAAGTGGTACCTATTTATCTACTTGCAATTTCTTGCTTTTGAACTGCTAGGTTTGCATGTTAGGCATGTAGATAAGTTCCCTCCCCCCTTTCTTAAATGTGGTAGGGAATGTTTTCAAAGAAAGGGTCAGGTGGGAAGTCTTGCTTTAACATAAGCTCTTTTGGGATGGAGATATTCCTAAATGAACCCGTCCTTCATGGACTGGTTTTACACCATGCAGTATAGATGTCTAACCCATCCATCCAATGGAGTTTGGCTTCATTTCTTATTAGAGTGTCAGAATAGGATCTGGGACATCCAATCCTCAGTCTCCCATAAAGAGAGACCTTGGACCAGTCATGCATTCCCATCCTTACCTACATCACAGCACTGTCTGGAGAATAAAATGGTGGAGAGGAGAATGATGCAAACCCCTTTCAGTTTCTGTTGGGGAGAAAGGTGGGGTAGAAATGAAGTAAACAATACAAAATACAAATAAAAGGGTTCTAGTTTTTCAGCACACAAGTAACAGGCAATTATGCTACCTTGGATTTTTGGGGTCTTTAATTTTAAGCTTTAATCTTCATTAAAATGATTCATATGCTTCTTTTTAAGCTGGAGCAGCTCATTACCCTGAGCTACCGTGCTGTGGCTACGTGTTAGTAAAATGTTCATGTCATTGTTTTGTGGGTAAATATAGCATTTATTTTTCAGCTTGGTGGTGTAGCTCCTCTTCATATTGCTGCTGCCCTTACTGGTGAAGAAGGGGTTAAAATAACAGAATTGCTTCTTCATTCAGTAACAGACCCTGATGTTAGGGCAGAAGATGCGGATGACACATACAGACAAGACAAAGCTGGCCTCTCTAAGGTATGTTTGTCTTACCCCTACATTGTCCTCTAGGTTTATAGGCGTGAAACTGAGCAAGGTCTTTGTTTTTGTGCAAAGTGGTGTGTAAAACAGTTGTACTGGAACACAGTAATTCTGCTGTTGATAATAGTTTGAGTCCAGTGGCAAAAAGTTCTGCTTCAGACCAACATGGCTACCCACCTGATGCTATTGATCATGTAACTGCTTCTGAGGGAAAAAAACATAAAAGGGGATCACAACAATATATAATTCAGTTCACTCAGTTCCAAGCTTGTGTGTATAATGTTCCATGACCAACAGTGCCATTCTAAGCAGAGCTGTGCCCTTCTAAGATCATTGATTCCAGTAGACCTAAAAGATGTAATTCTGCTTAGGGTGGCATTGGTAGTCTATCTGTCTTTCAGTCTGTCCACTTTTCTTCCTTCGATGCTGTGCAGGCTGGGAGACTGTGGGCCTGACCATGAGCATCTCCAGGCAGAATAATGTCCCAGGTAGACCTTCGCCCAATACCTGGAGAGCTGGTGCCAGTTTGAGTAGAAAGCACTAGATTACATGTAACACTAATCTGATTCAGAGGAAGACTGTTAATATGTACTGCACAGTTTATGCATAGAATGCATGTAGCCCTGAACAGCAGCAGCACTTTTACTGTACTGTTAGAATATTTGTGCAGTGTAAATTGCTGAGGGGATCTGAAGAGGAAATAAACACCTCTAAGTGGTAGTTCAAAGAGGATAATTCCTGATTTCATAATGGAGAACAGACTGTGACTTCTTGAGGTCCCTGGAGCCATCTGAATTTGTGACTTCCTTTCCACTTTTCCCTGTAGGCTGAGCCTCTTGAAGCATTATCAATGATGAAACTGTATAATGAAACTGGACCACCCAAAGGCTTTTACACAGAATGTACCATTACCCCAGAGGAAGGTGGGAGGACACCCCTTCATATTGCGTGTGAGAGGGAGGATAGCCATAAGGTGAGTGATAACTATGGAAATCCTCTTTTCCTTCAAGTTGAAGTATTTTGCTAGCATTTGCGATCTTTACCGCTTCCAGTCTTTCAGATGTTATCTTGGTAAGGAAATCATATTTTAAAAGTGGGGATTGTATATCGGTTTTCTATGAGAAACATCCAACTGCCTCTGCTTTGCTAATATTGATGGTTTGATCTCAAAGCCTTAGGGCCTAGTAGTTAGAGGAATTTCAGTCATCTGGGAACTGGCATCCAGGGTTCTACATTAAATCAAAAGCTCAGTATATACAGCCAGATGTGCAGTGCAGTCAGCACTGACCCACCAGCAATTCTTTTGCAGGACACTGGTATCCTGTGCAGGGATCTGAATTCTTGCTCAAGAATGCCAGATTGCTGAGCTGGACAAATATTTTTATTGCATTTTTATTAGCTGTTTTATTAGACATTTTTTTAAAATAACATAAAGACATTATTACATGAAGTTCCTGCAATGTTTTTGGTAGCTACATATGAAAGAAAATAAAAGTCTCCCTAAATCTAATGGGTGATTGAAACCCCCTGTGTAGAGGAGGATGTGCAAGACTTTGTTTTAGTCTGCCCACTCTTTCCTTCATGCCATTTGCAGCCCTAGAGTTGAACAGTAGGAGCACAATAGGTGAATCCAAGCAGCAGTGCCCTACCACTGGCATACACAAAGCCTTTTTTTTGTGATGGGAGAAATGAATGCTAAAGAAATTAAAGAAGGCCTGTGTGTTTCAAGGCTGTTGCATACCCAAACCTCATTTATTCAGACCAAAGGCATGGTGAATGCAATGCAGGTCAGGAGCTTGGATTTTGAGAGTGAAGCTAGAGGTTCAGCAACAAACACAAGAAGAATTCTGCAATGTAGAAGCTTGTGGATTTGCAGACCAGTTGGTTTACAGGTTAGTAGGCATCCCTTCAGATGTGTGTAAGAGAGAGACACCATTCCACTTCATTTCTGGGCTTAGATTTTGAGTGAAGTGCTGCACTGACTGTTGAGATTGCAAAAGTAGTAGAGCCTCACATTCAAAACTCAAATCTAGAGTAATAATATCCCAGCTGTTATGCTTTGATGAAGCACAATGAAAATGTCCTGTTTGGTTGCAGTCCAGCTAAATCAGCCAGGCCACCAAAATAGCAAGGGAGCTGTCCAGCAGTGCCAACAAGCTGGGCAAAGATTATGGACTTGGAGACCTTCATAACAGGGAAGATATTCAGGCATTGCACGAACTAAATAGGAGTTGGTTCATAGGAGTGTTGCATCAGTAACTTGCAGCAACTTTTGTAGCTTGTCTGACCATCCCATCTTTTATGTTGCCTAGTGGGGTCTTAGTCCCGACAGAACTTAAAGCAAAACAGCCTCTTCTCGAGCAGGGTGGTGAAATGAGATGCCTTGTGCTGTCAAATAAGCACTGAATCTCTAGTCCCAATTCTTCTGGGTCCGTGAGTGGGACCTCCTCCTAAGTGACAGTCTTAGGGATTCCCACTGGGAAGCTACCAATGTGCAGTAGGGTTTATAGAGGGGGTGGGCTTCTCCCCTGAGGAGGTCTCGTCTTGTTTTGATGCTGGGCTTGTGCATGTCCTGATAACAAATGATCATAAATGCTTTTGTATAAGCAGCCATAAAATAAATTATTATAAATGATATTAGTAATAAAAATGATATAAATATTCCCAAACTGGTTCATGTAGAATAGGATCCCCTCTGAAAGCAAGTGGGGATTTTGGATCTCTAGGCCCAGGGAATCAGATGAGTCACCTGCCCACTCCCCAGTCTTGCACTTCCAAATCCATGGCTTGCCGTGGCATAAAATGGTTTTACCAGTTGAAAATAAAGTCACCAGTGGGCAGACATGGAAACTGAAACATCTGTGTGATTCTAGTACGGAAATGGAATGAAGAAATGGTATTGCAAGATGGGACAGGACAGTCTGCAACAGGAGCCCACCCAAGCAGGCAGGTAGAGAAAGCTAGCATGGTGTCTGGAGAAGACTGACCTCTTCTGGCCAGATCAATTCAGGTGGGCAACCGTGTTGGTCTGAAGCAGCAGAACAAAGTTTGAGTCCAGTGGAACCTTTAAGACAAACAAAGTTTTATTCAAAGTGTAAGCTTTTGGGTGCAAGCACACTGAAGAAATGTGCTTGCACATGAAAGCTTATACCTTGAATAAAATTTTGTTGGTCTTAAAGGTGCCACTGGACTCAAACTTTGTTCTCTTCTGGCCAGTAAAGAAAAAATAAAACATCTGGCCAGAAAGTTTAGGAAGGCTCCTCAGCCAGGGAAGTATAAATACGATTTATTTTAACACGCCAGGGAGAGCACCAGGGGCATAAACAAGCAGCACCACTTAAAGGTAAGTTTGCTAGTAAAGAAGCCTCTCTGTACAACCTTCCTTCTTGGTTTTCACATTTTCCTGGGTAATGATGATGAAAGCACCTGGGCTAGCTCCAGCCCCAGTACAGCTCCAGATCACAGTCTATCTTTTCATTGGTTACTCTAAAAAAACCGTGGACTAGAGGGGACATTCTTTTAATTTAAGAGCAATTTGGTTAACAGGAAGCTGGATACCTTTACAAAGTATCCTAAACCGGTCTGCATTTAGATGTAACAGTTGACTTGACAGCTGACAGTTCAGATATATTCAGGAAAGGCAAAAATGAAATACTTCTTCACACAATCCTTTATTAATTTATGGAATTTGCTGCCACAAGATGTGGTAAAGGCCATTAGCTTAGGTGGTTTTAAAAGTGATCAGCCCCCAATTTAGAGTCAGAGTCTTCTTTGGAAGATCCAGCCTCTCCTTCTTCTTTACTTTCTTTGGCAGCATCGGTCACACCTTCTCCTGCTGGGCTGCTATGTTGACGCAAAAACTCGCAAGCCTTTTCAACAGAGTCAATTCTTTCTTTTCCATTTGCATATCTAAAGATTAATCCCTTGGGTGTTAGCCATCTGTAGCAGACATTATGCTTTTGTAGAAATCAAGTCTCTGTATTTCCTTCTTTTCCTTCTTATCTCAAATGGAATGTCTTTCAGTACTCTTATGTCTTTGTCTTTTATCTTCAGGGTCGTTCCATTAGATGCTTTCAATAGTTGATCTCTCACTTTTCTTTGGGAGAATCTTATTGTAACTTCCCCTGGCAGATTATTCTTTCTGATAAATTCTGTATATGATCTATAAAAAGGTAAAGGTAAAGGTTCCCTTGCTCGAAAGCCAGTTGAATCCGACTCTAGGGTTGCGGTGCTCATCTCCGTTTCAAAGCCGAAGAGCCAGCGCTGTCCGAAGACGTTTCCGTGGTCATGTGGCCGGCATGACTAAACACCAAGGCGCACGGAACGCTGTTACCTTCCCACCGAAGTGGTACCTATTTATCTACTTGCAATTTCTTGCTTTCGAACTGCTAGGTTGGCAGGAGATATGATCTATGGACCGTATCAATTTCGCTTTGAAGTTGATCCAATGTCATCTCTGCCAAGGGAGCTAATACATCGCCAACAATCTGTCTCAGATTCTCTCCTTTCTCTTCTTGGACACCTTGAAGTCTCAAGACATAGCTTGCCCTTTCCATTTGCAGCTGTAATACTCGAGACTCTTCGATTTGGCATTTCCCCTCCATAGCCTGTAGTTTTTTATTCATCTTTTTTGAGTTGGTATCAACCTCTTTAAGTTCTTGTTCTGTTTTTTCAATTTTCTGTGTATTCGCAGCCATTTGTGCTTGTTGTGTATCGAGTTTATTGTCAATTGCTGTAATTTTCTCCAGTAGGGGGCGAAGTGCTTCCGACAACAACCTTTGGAGTTCCGCAGTTGAGTCCTGTCTAGGCACAGAACTCACAGGGCTGGAACTTCCGGGAAGAAGTTTTGTTTTCGCTTGTTTGTCTCTCTGGTCCTTCACAGGCGGTGCCATGTTTGAGAGTTGTTTCCTTTTATTAAGAGTTTGTCAAAGTCTCTGGAAGTTCTTACATCATGTGGTAAGCTCTTACAGTCTCTTTATTTTAATCCATTCGCTTTTAGTAGTGCCTCCCCCTTTTTTTCTGGCTTGAAATCCCTTGTAAACAGTTCTTTTCTTTCGGGAGAGCCGTGTGGTTTTTCGTTGTTCTCACTTGTACTTAAACTCACATTTTCAACGATTGTTTGCTTGTGTCTGAAATCGCTTGATCACCAAACACTTGCTCCAGTGTGCTGATCTTGTTCCCATACAGGACGCTCCACAGCGGGACCGTCAGGGCTTGGAGTAGCCCCCCCTCACCGGCTTGTCTCGCCGGAGGGGGGCTCTCTAGCGCCCCATGGCTTGGAGCCCTTCACTCGGGCTCCTGGGGTGGCACAGATGATTGCGCCCCCTCCCAGCTGTGGGCACTGGCAGGCTTCTCCCGGAGGTCTGGGGGGAAAGCAACTGCCACGGCGATCGCCAAGACCGGAAAACCGAACCTTAATGTTCATAGACAGTGTGCCACTGAGCACCAGTTGCTTGGGTGGGGGCAATACTGGAGGCAGACTGTTGCCTTCTTGCCCTGTCAGTCAGCTTTGGGGGCATTTGAAAGGTTGGTCTAGCATCTTGTTGCTTGTAGTGACCAATCAGTCACTGTGGGAAACAGGATACTGGAGCAGATGGATCTTTGGTCCGCTTCTTACCTTCTCAAGTATAATGAAAAAGTTGCTGGCCAAACTGCCATTATAATGGGTATGTGATACTGTATTTTTCCATCACTCAAACTGTAATCACTCATTACTGGAGAAAATTCCATTTTCTCTTTTACTTGCTCACCAGTTGCCATAGTTATAAATCTTGTGTGTGTCGCAAGGAGGGAGCAGCCTGTGGCTCAGTGATAGAGCATCTGCTTTGTATACAGAAGGCCCTGGGTTTGATCCCTGGTGTCTTCACTTGAAAGGTAGTAGGTGATGTGAAAGAGCACCTTGGAGAGCTGCTGCCAGTCAAAGTGGACAATACTGACCTCTAGAGACCAATGGTCTGATTCAGTGTAAGGCAGCTTCAGGTGTTTATGTGTGTACCTGTTGTGAACTCAGTTTTAAAAAAATGTTTTATATCCTTTTAAAGATGATTAGTCCTGTGGTATAACAGTTGGAATGCTCATGCAACTCTTTAAAAATTAATAGGTGGCAAATAGCAAGGCGCATTATTTTGAGGTCCCATTGCTTTTAAAATAGTTGAATTTGTTATTTGAGTGCTGTTTCCTGCACTGAAGTTCATGTCTCTCCCAGTCTGTCCGTCTCCAAAAAAATGAACGTGGATGTAGCTATTCTACCTTCTGTGCTGGCCTGTGATTTGGAGGAAGCTATAGAAATGGAGTATATTTTAATGCTAGGGCCAAACTGTAGTCCATTTGGCTGTGAGCCTGCCTGATGCTTAAGGGCAGCTTACACAAATGCCTTTGTATGTAACATGTGACGTTCCTGGGAGGGGGGGTCATGGATGGATGGATGGATGGATGGATGGATGGACATCGTTTGTCCTGTTTGCTGAACAAATTCACAACTGACTTCTACTGCTTGTAACATGTGAAGCCACTCTAAGTTTGGGTCAACAGCATGTAGTGCTTTTAAGGTCCTTGCAGTCCTCTCAGGCATTCAAATGTTGGCCTCCTCAGTCAGTCTTCTATATTTCTAAGTTTTACACCAGAAATAAACAATTGTTTCCAGTCTTGGATCAGAGAATAGAGATAAGCCTTTTGTTATTCCATTGGAGGCATATCTTATAGCTTTGATTAAAAAATCTTTTTTAGACTTCAGACTGCAGTTGATTCCAAAAGAAAACATGATGACTGCATTGGCCACCAACCAAATTTTGTGTTGATTAACCATAGCACAGCTCTAAAAACAAGTGGAATCTTAGGATTCTGAACCTGTCATTTGCTTTTACTTTTTAACAATATGGTTTGGCCTGTATCCTTACTATATACGATTTATTAAAATATCCCAAAGCCTGCATACTCTAGTAGAGTTTTCTTGTAACATTAGAAGGCAAGAGATTCCTCTTGAAATGAAAAATGAGATCTCTTATTTCTGGCAAGTCCCAGAAATGAATTCTACAATAGGAGAGAAGCTCCAGGTAGCATTTATTAGATCAGGTCTCAATTTCTAGACCTGCATGAATTAGAATAACTGAAGCAGCTTTGGATCTCTCCCCTTCCTTCCCCCAGTCTCTTTTTTCTACCCCCCCCCCATTTCTGTTCAGTTTTGTGAGGATGAAATTGGCTTGTGGTGAAGAGCGATGGTGGGAAATAGTTGTAGCATTGCACTTGAGTTCGCCTGTGCATATTTACTCTGAAGTAAGTCCCTCTGAGTTTAGGTAAGTGGCAGGGCCATCCCAACCCCGTAAGTCAATCACGTGGTCTTCTAGAACATCAGACATTGAGGGGCGTTGAATTAGCCAAATGTGAATTTATGTTTTCTATTTTTAAAATACAGAAACTTAAGCAAACTTATAGAAAGTGATTTAAGAAAATTGTTAAATATGGTAATAGATCTCTTTGTATGTGTTATGTATGTAGGTGGATGTTTGTTATATGTTGTATGTATGTTGGTTTGTGTATAATATGAAAAGTAATAAAAATGTACCTACCAGGTACTTAAAAAATAAATAAATACGTACCAATATGTGTTCTCTTACAAACAAACGTGTCCAATATTGTACTTCACATTTTTTTCCATACTGAATATGGGGAGAGGGGGCCACTAAAACCTAGAGTGGCAAAAAACCCTTGGGTGGGCCCTGATAACCAAGCATGAGCTTTTACCCTTTTAGAAGGAATGGATACACAGACTGCAGTGGGAGCAATAAAGTTAGAAAGACAGAGAAGTTCAGGACTCTCTACACCTTTTTACTTTGACCTGTTGTTCCTTTGGCCTTAGGCTGCTGTTCTCAGGGAACTTCCTTCCAGCTGATCATCCCTCTTCCCTCGTCCTTGTCTAGCTACCCCAGCAGCAAGATGCACCTATCCACCTTAGCATAGGTAGATAGTTTAGAACGCTGTCTCTACTCTTCCCTAGTCAGTATGTAGTTCCTTATTATAAAGGGCTACTACTTTTATTCTGAAGCAGCCAATCTCATGTGAACTTAATTCCTGTGCTGCAACACAATTCTGCCGTACAAAGGGATGCTCTCTTAATATAAGATGATCAACTGTGGGACGGGATGAAAGAAGAGAGAAGAGCTGTGAGAAAGGTTGATTATTTGGTGAATACATTGTTAAAACGGTTTAAAAGATGGGGGGAAATTGAGCAACATGTTGAAAGCATTTAGAGATTTCTCATTAAACAACTAGGGTTTTTTGTTAATTACTTTTGATGATTGGTCTTGTATACATTAGCAGTATTGGAAAAAGTCCTATTTGATGGACTATAATGAGTTGCAACTGATACTCTTTTATTCAGGAGTTGATTACTTCATTGACATGCATTTCTTGCCTTGCAGTTTTTTATTGCTGCCTTCAGTTACATAAATAAAAAGTCAATAACTTAACTTTACCTCTCTTATTCACTCATACATAATTAAGAATCTGTAATTGCAGCAGGTCTTTATTTACATCGGTGGAGTTCTTTTTTAAGCATCATTTTGCTGCTGTTGTTGAATTTTCAAGACATAAATAGAAAGCTCAGCTTTTACTGCAGTGTTTCTTTTGTGTTTGTGCTTTCAGTGCTATCCCATTAAAATGTTCATTTGCCATGTATAGTTCTATTCAGGCTGAAATTTGGGACAAGCTCTTGGAAGATAATTTTGATTGCAGTTTCATTCTTTGGTTTCTTAGATGCATCTTCTTCTGTTGCCTTTCTAGCTTCTTTAGAAACTTTTGTGACAACTATCAGCTCCACATCACTTGCAAAGAACAGCCTGATACAATCATTGGTTTGCTATTCTGCCCACACTCCCCCTTTCTGTAGAAGATCTGCTGCCTTCTTGCGTGTTGCATTAGCCACATGTAAAAAAATCCCACTCTTTCAATCTACTGAAAAAAATTCTCATGAAAACATTTAATACAAGTTAGGGTCCAAAGGGTTGCTGCAGGTGAGCCTGAGGGTCTTGGCCCACACCCGATAGTACTTTTGTAATGTAATGTCACATGCTGCTTTTAAAAGTCCCCTCAGTTTCAGAAGTGGTTTGCTATATGGCACAAGGTGCACCTGTTCGAGAAACTCAAGACCAAAGCCTTCTTGGACATGTAGAGCTAGGCATGTGGTTCTTTGGTTCCTGGTTGTTGTCTTATTCATTACTCTGACAACATTTACCAGCCATTCATTTGAACTGCTATATCAATATTTGATGCCAGTGCACATTACCTCTTTTTGTGTGGTCAGTTCTGTGTGCTCAGGGTTTCAGTGGGGAGGAGTAATAGGCCAAATCGATTGCCTAAAAGTTTTCTTTGTTTTATTAGTCACTGCACAAAACTCCAGAGATTAAAGGTCAAGGTGCGTTCTGTTTCTTGACTGAGATGAGCTCTCCAGAAAGCTTTAGTTATCATTAATGCCATTGATGCATGACATTGCTTTACAGAGTAGCCAATCTAAGCAACATTGCCCCATTACAGATATCTAAATTTCAACAACTGGCATGAGTGGGGACCTGGAGCCAAGGGTAAAAGGAAAAGCTAAGTTTTAGTTTAGTTTCAGTTAAGAGGTTGAAATCTAAATGAATAAGCCAAAAACGTCTTACAAGGTCACCATAACCATTATGAAACAGATCTATTTTGGTGCTTTTCCTGATCCAGTCATCACAGTCCAGAAGCTTTTATGTGCTGAAATGTACAGAGTTCGTCTGTGCACAGATTTCTCCCATTTACTGCAAGAGAGTAAAGAAATCTACACATGCAAAGGAGTATACATGGGAATCTTCTCTCTGTTGAAGGGAGAGAGCACATTCTTGTGGGCTGAGGGATTTTTGAATGAACTGGCAAGCACCAATCTGCCCCCTCGGGAACAGCAGCTGCTCCTCGGCTCCCCAGGTGTGTGGGCGGGAGTGGTGCTGTGACTCAGAGTGGGGAGTCGTCCCGCCCCCGCCTGAGCTCCATAGCCACGTCTGCATTCAAACGGATCGTGGCTGCTTCCCTCCCCCGCCGGGCTTCTCCTCTCTAACTGGGCAGGCAGCGGCAAAGCCACCGCCATTCCTCCCCTTCCCCCCCCCGGCCGCACCACTTTTTCTGGGCTGCTCTCTGAACCCCAAACAGACTCAGTGGCGGCACCAATCTCAGTCGCGCTCTGCAGCCCCAGGCGGATTGGCCACCTCCTCCTCTGCCCGCCTGCCTGGCGCTCGCCATTGGTCGGCTGGCTCGGCCCAAAGTGGGTGCCTGGGGAGCTCCACTTCTCCTGCCTGGTCCCCTCACGGCCATGTGTGGCTGTTGCCAGTCTTCCTTGTCCGAGTGCGAAGGGAGGCGTTGGGGGAGGCTTTTTTTGAACACAAACAAACGTGAAGCTGAGCGGGCTGCCCGCCGGGCAAGCGGGTGAGGCTGGATCCTGTTTGGCGCCCCTAAGGGCTGGCCCACACTCTAGGCGAATGCCTAGTTCGCCTAGTGGGTGAGCCGGCCCTGGTTTCAGTGGGCTTAGATGGTTGTAATTCTGCTTAGGATGACACTGACTATGTGTATATTATGGGTTAATGATACACCTGTGGGGTTGTTGCGTTTTTATTTTATTTTTTGTTTTTGCCAAGTCAGTTTGAACTGTTTTTGCTGAAGCACATAGCGGTGAATGCCGATTCAACATTACCTTCAGTGTATAGCTTCAGATTAAGAAATATCTGCATACCTTTGCTCTAGCATATTTTATTTTAAATGTCTAATTTATTCAAAACAAATATTTAATCCCATCATTTTGATAAGTGTGTTTTGTCTTTGTTGATGTTATTTTATTTTATGCTTCCCTTTTAGAACGCAAGTGATGTTGTTCACCTTCTTTTAAATCACAATGCAAATCCAAATGTCCTCTGGAGTGGCCATTCCCCTCTTTCACTGGCCATTGCTAATGGAAATGATCTGGTGAGCATTACTGGCCTTTACCCACCAGTATATTTAACTTCTTGCAAGTAGATCAGGGCTCCCTTTTAAATACTGTTTTGAGTAAGAAACAACCTGCCTTTCATTTAAACTAGGCCCTCAGCTACTACATATGCAGGGTGACCATGCCAGAGATCTATAGCTTGGGGTGGGCAGTGGGCTGACTTGCTAATATTGCATGTGTAGCAGGGGTTTAAAATAAAATGCAGAGTTGAATGGGGAAGTTTTTAATCTTCAGTGTCACATTTAAATCAGGCCATACTGATGTTCTCTGAATCACAGGAAAAAGAGACAAAAATGTATGCATCATTACATTACTAATTACTTTAATGCACCTTTATTGGAATCTTACTGGACTCCCAAACATGAACCCAGGAAGACAGCACTACAGCAAATGCACCATAAACCTTTGTTTAATAATGGATTGAAGCCAGTGCAGTGTTTCCACAGGCATAAGGAGTTCTGCCTGCAGAATATGACTTTCTCAGCTGCCCTTCCCCCACAGCAGCCCCAGCCCCCCAATCCTACTCTTGCAGGAGAAGGAGCCCTTAGGAACAGTATTTTGAGAAGCATTTTGAGTGGCCATGGGAAAGGGAAACTGCAAATGTATCCTCCATAGGTAAAATTTCTTGCATATGCAGAATTGCTGTGCTGGCTCCAACCCCATGTCTTGTTCCATATTCTACAGTTTGCAGACATCATGTTTGCACATTTCAGTGTTATAGTTAAAACAAATTGATGAGAGTAGAGTGAGGAGAGGCTGGTGGCTAAAGGTGGTGACTTAATATTTTCACCCTGCACAACAAAAGATTATTACTACTTGGCACATATTTATTTAGTACTTTTTAATCCTGCCCTTCCTACAAGAAAACTGAGGATGACATACAGCATTCTCTCGTTCTCCACTTTATCCTTGCACCAACCCTGCAAGGTAGGTGAGATTGAACATGCATGACTAGCCCAAGGTCCATCGGCTAGCTTCATGGCAGAGTGGGGACTTGGCTGGCTGTCCAGATCATAATCTTGGCTGGCTGTCCAGATCATAATCTGACACTTTTACCACTCATCATGCTGGATCTCCACTTGGGATAGACTTGGTAGAGAAGCAGATTGTTGTTAAAACTGCCTGTTAACTGCCAGTGATTGATATTACACAAGAAGAGCCCTACTGGATCAAGCCAAAGGTCCCACTTACCCAGCATCCTGTTTCCCACAGCAGCCAACTAGATGGTATCGGAAGGCCTACAAGCTAGGCATGGAACCCAAGATCTCCCCGTGTTAATGTTGGCTCTCAGCTGCTACTTGGTGGTGCACAGCCTCTGAAAATGCACTGAAGGTGCCACCACCTGGCTCTGCCCCTGCCACAGCAATCACTGGTACCTGGGATGAGGTAGAGTTTGCCAACTCATCCCCAGACTAATTTAACAGCTGTTCTTGCTCTGTATAGAGAGAGAATCACAGAAATGAATGACTATAAAGAGAACAAAAGTTACTGTGATCAATTTACTAATATACTTTCCAATGCTATATCAATCTTACTTGTTTAATGTAATAATGATTAATACAGTCATAATCTTATAAATATCATAATCATATACAAATAATCACATACAAATGTTCAAAAATGAACATCAAACCAGTCCTTCAAATGATACTCCAATGGAGGGACATCGCATAAATCCTGAAAAGACTTGTCAGAAAAAAAATATAACAACTGTAAATTGTAGCTATGCATTGTTCCAGAGGGAGACTTCCAGGACTTAACCACTTTTCCAATGTGTGTATATAGTAATCCATTTCTGTATTCCAATTAGCAGTCCAAGTGGAATCCACTATGGATGCACACTTTGCAACAGGTGCACAGCACTTCTGTTTTACAAAAAGTCCTGGTGATGAACAGTCAACTTAAAATGCTCTTTTCACACACACCCCGGGTTTCTTCACAATTGGGACATCAAAGCAAGCATATCTTTTCTGCAATCAATATTCAATGTTTTGCATTCAAGACTGAAATCTCCAACACGTTCTCTTACTAGTAAATTACCTTGGAGTATTGTTTGAAGGACTGGTTTGATGATCATATTTGAACAATTGTATGTAATTATTTGTATATGATTATTATATTTATATGATTATGACTGTGTGTATTAAGCATGATTAAATTAAATTAAACAAGGAAGATTGATATAGCATTGGAAAGTATATTAGTAAACTGATCACGGTAACTTTTGTTCTACTTATAGCCTTGCTCTGGGTAGAGCAAGGAGCAAAGGGGAGGGAAGGCCCCTCTTCCTTCTGCTGGGTGTGTTCCACTTTGGATTCAGTGGCAGGAGGGAAGAAAGGCCCAAACTGTTGTGTGAGGAGAGGATTCTTTTTCATTTCATTAAAGCTGTTCATCCTTGGTACAATGGCAACTTGGGCTTTACTGAAGGAAAAAGGTACTGTATTTTTAACAGGGCTATGTGGGACTTGTCCTTCATTCAAAGCAAAATAATAGGCCTAGTGCAACAAATGCTCAGCAAAAGAGGATTTTTTCCACTGGAGCCTGATGCTGCCTCAAGAGCAGGGAAGTGAGGCTGGAAGCTTTCCTATAGCCCGTTCATGCCAACTTGGAGGTAAAAGCATTGGGGCTGAGCTGAGTTCTGATTCTACTCCCTTTGCTGCAGCAGTAGATGGATGAGGCTGGTGATGGTTTTCCTTGGCCCCTTCTCTTTGGCTTCAGTGGCAGTGGAAGACTGGCATTTTGTTGCCTAAGCAAGAAGAAAATGGATGGTGACTGGGGTGGGGTGGGGGGAGCTGAGGATTCATTGGTTTAGCCCTGTGTGTCCAGAGATTTTTAAGGAGAGGTTTTATATTTAGTGAATAGCTGTTCTAACACAAATTGTAGATCATCTTTTGTTGTAACAATATTTACATTCATGAGAAGGTTTTTACCTATTCCTCCCCCCTTTTACTTTACACAGGCTGTGGCTGAGCTTTTGGCTGCAGGAACTGACCCAAATCTCCCATTAGGCCAAGCTGTTGGAAATGCCCTGTGTGCTGTGGTTAACCCTGTGTACGACCAGAACAGGATATTGGCAAATAAGATTTCTTTGGTAAGTGAAGTGGTAAATAATCTGATCCTGGCTTTCCAGATATAAACATTTGAAGGTGCCCTATCCCAGGTCAAATTATTGGTCCATGTAGCTCTAAATTGTCCACCCTGACTGGCAATGGCTCAGAGAAACATCTTCCCCAGCACAGGGTACTTGAAATCTTGTAACTGGAGATGGCAGGGCCTTCACCTGGGAGTTTCTACTTGTGAAACATGTGCTCTGTCACAGAGGCAAGGTCCTTCCCTGCCTGTAGGTGGGAAAAGGGGGTAAAAGAGAAGCTGTTGGAGACAGCAAAAAAATGCTATGAAGTGTAAAGATAAAAGTCTTGCTTGTCGACTTTGCTCAGCTCAACTACTATTGGACTTTTCCTCCTCTTAGGAGGTTCATTTGGCCTCAGTGGGGGTACATCTTGTGGAAGATGTACAAGGTGCCTTTGCTGGTTATGTTCTGCAGGCTTTGTAAAGTGTAAGTGACTTTATTGCAGCCGGGATTTGCCTGCTGATTTTGAGAGTTATGGCTTCCATGGAAGATAGTCTGGTTGACTATGATTTGCAATTTTGCGGGTGGGGCGGGGCAAAAACACATTTGTGTAGTTCCTGTTAGGGCTGAGTTTTAACAAATGCTCTACTAGTATTGGTGTTCTGTGCATTTACTGGTTTTATAGGTTATTGAAAGCTGCTTTGAGCACAGTAAAGAGCAGAGTAAAGAGCTACTTTGAGCACAGTTTTTTAATGGGATAACTGAGAGAACAGGGACTGCAAAGAGAGAGGGAGACTGTGGGTAGGGAAACAGAAAAAATAGAGTTAATTAATGGCAAAACCAGACATGATGCTGGAAAGGTCTATTCACTGACTGGTTTTGCAACATCATGTCTGATTTTAGTTCAGAAATATGGGAAGCAGTGGTGGGAAGCTGAGGAGAGGAAAGAGAGTTACAGGTAATATAGTGTGTGTGCACTAAGAGAGAGAAGAGGATGGGAAGTGGAGAGGGAAAATATGGCAAGGTTAACTATGTGCTGAGTTTATGAAAGCGGCCCTATGATTCTTTATGTCCTCCATTTGTCTATTTTTGTTTCTTTTGTCTCACCAGATTAATATGTTAATAGCTGGAGGTGCAGACATGTTGATGCCCATAACCATTGGGGATGACACTAAAACTGCAGTGGGAACAGTAGTGGACTACGCATACTTCAAATTCTATCAGGTATTTCTTCAACACCTAGAAATTCAAACCCACTTTAAAATTACTTGAAAGCCATTCCAGTGTTCCACAAATATGGCTCGTATGTTCCCAGGCCCCAAAAGAACACATGAGTGAAGTCTCAATGAGGAGAAAGTTCTTTAGGTATTTTATTGCAAGAAATACCGGAAAACAGTTAGGCCAGAGTTGCCTGTCAAAAATTGACTGCTTTCTGAACAATATAAGGAAGTACATGAAGTTTTATACCCAAAATGACATAGGCAAAGATAACATACAAAAATCATAATTGGTTATAAATGGCAATCATTGGAGTAGGGATACATTCATTGGTCAGCTACAGCAAAAGGTGTGACTACATGATATCTTAAATGTTTATTAAACCTAACCTTATTCAACACCCAAATAAAAATGTTTATTTAACCTAACCTTATTCTCTACACCCAAATAAAAATTGTTGTTTTCACATAAGAAACTAAAGCCCTTGTTGACCCAAACACTGCAAAGTTTTACCCTAAACAACTAAAACCATGAACCCTATACTTTGAGTAAAGCAGATACCTCTGTTAAAAAGCCCATCCTCCACTTTCCCATCAATGCTACACTTAAGACCTATTAAAATTGCCAGACCGCTAACACAGCTATTCCATCAAAGCAACTTGATAAAAAGAATGTTTACTTCTTGTCTGCTAGCATCAGCTAAAAAGACACTCTAACCTACAAAGAAGAGGCCTTACAACAATACTCTTATTAAATCCTAATAAAATCTTAATATCAAAATTTATAAAGCCATAAAATATAAATATATGAATAATCTGAATTAAAAATCATTATATATTCCCATCTATGCTACACAAGTAATTAACAAAGGACTTGGTGCTAAATGCTGCAGATATTCTTTTCCTTATCTCTCTAATTCATTTGTCCATTGACATTTCAGTCAAAGAAGATTAACAAAATGTTAAGTCGAAGGTTACCTTTTGAGAGACAGAATAGGGATGGGCACGGACCAGTCCACAGACCTAATTTTGTCACAGACAGGGGCTGGTTCGTGGTCTATTTGCCAGGTCCATTCATTTGTGGTTTGGCGGACTGTCCACGGACCGTGATTTTTTTTTAAGGCGGACCATTTAATCTATTGGAGTGGTCCATGGGTCAGACATGCTGGTACCCAGGGAACCCTTTAAAGCTGTGTCACCACCGCCCACTTCTGGATTGTGCCTCCATGGCTACTTGATGCAAGTTTGCTCAGAGGGCATTTAAATTCCTCCTGAACTCACTCCAAGTGCGCTGCAGTGACAATGTGACCCGGAAGACTGCATAACGGACCTCATGAACCCCGGGTTGTGCTGTATAATGGACCTCATGAACCACAAACCAATTCATAAACTGGGAAAGTCTGTGGAAGTTTGTGGTTCATGAAACTAGTCCATGCCCATCACTAAGAATAGTTCAGCGTCAGGAGTCACCAGCCTCTTACAAGGCTGCTTTCATTGGCTGTAGGTGGTTACTTTAAGAATGTACAGCAGTTACCAGGATCAAAAAGATGGGCCTGCAAGGAGGAAAGAATTGTTTGTTTTCTCTGCAGTTGTTCTCACTGGTGGAAGAATAAACCACTTTTTTCATAGACCAGTGTTGATGGGAATGACTGCTAGGAAAACAATGGGTAAGACTCAAACTGCCCATGCATTTATTTCCTATATGTACATATATTTTTGGATCTCAGCTGCATCTGTACGTCTTTTGTGGGCTACTTTTGGAACTGGTATACAAAGTATGGTTTATATAGAACATGGCATAACTCAAGTTAGCATGCTTGTAGTAGCTTACAGAATGAGAACTGTGCTGCCCCCAGTCAGCGTGTGAGACTGTAGTTAAGCAGAACTGCCAGATATCTTTAAGAGCAGTGCTTCCTGGGAATTGAAGTCTTTAGTTAGACACCCCACAGCATCCGGCACACAGAGGCGCGCGAGGGTTCGAGTTACAACTCTCTTCCTGTAGCCTTTGTTATCTATAACCGGCAAGGAGTGGGGACAAGCATCCTTTTCACCATGAGCCAGTGAAAGGAATTAAATCACAAAGATGTGAGTAAAGAACTCTTATGAATGCATGTGAAAAACTGAATAAAAGTAATTTATTCTACTTTGGCTGTGCGTTGAAAACTGTCCAGAAGACGCTGTCGGCTCAGCGTTAGACGGAACAAGAACAATTGTAATATTTGCAGAAAATAAAAAAGAGTACTCAGAAATGGTTGCAGTGTGTACAATAACATCATAATAGAGCGGAGGTCTCAGATATTCTGGATTTTCTTACAGGTCATGGTGGTTGTTTATTTCAGCGAAAGAATATTGCCGAAATGGCAAATTTGTTTCTTTTTAAAGGCTATTGTGTTCTTCAGGGACCAGATCTGTTTTCTGCACAGCCTACCAACTTCAAAGGTGGTCAGGTTTTATTTTTAAAAAAGCAGCACCAGTTAGTGTTTGCACTTGCTGGTAGCCTGTGCTTTACGTATAGACCTGAAAGAGAGATGTAACACTAATGTATGGATTCACTCCTTCACAGAGTTTGAAAACAATTTGGGGTTGGATCCAACCAGCTTGTCTGCTGATGAAATATCAAGGCTATGTTCCCTTTCACCACCCGAAAAGGCTGTAGTAAAGAAGGGAATTGGGCAAGATGGAATGAAAAAGCTGGCTGTATCCAATCCTTTGTTTTTAAAAATCAGCATTTTTGTTATTACTTGGATTGAATTTTAGTACCAGATACGGTAGGGCTTGGGGACAGATGAAAGTCCTTTGGCTCACAGGTCTCCAGAAGGTCTAGATCCCTGGTCAAGAATACAGTATTCTACGCCTCAGTCCTGCTCTGTTACAGCTCTGCATGGCACAGCTTGGTTGCACCATCATGGGCAAAACAGAAGTAGATAGATGTGAGGCACCATCAAAAGGCCCATGGGAGTAACAGTTGGTCCCTAACAGGTGAGATAGATCCATGGAAACAGGGTAATTCCATCCATCAAAACACACTGTCAGTTGTTCATTTATTCCTTTCGTAACTACTCATCAGTGCAATCAGAGTTGGTCAGCATATTGCGGCGTATTGAAGGCAATAAGCTCAGTGCAAAACCTGTCTCCTGCATGTGTCTCTGTGTGTGTACTCTGCCCAAGCAGGAGAGAAAGGGCATGGCCAGCAGAGAATCCTTTTCTACACACAGAACTGAGTGGGGATAGATGAGGCATCTGTTTGTAAAAATAATAATGATAACTTCTTCTAAGAAAGTGAAGCGGCTGAAATGGATTCTATTTCTTGTCACAAAAAGGTGGCAGTTTACTGAGGATTCTGTATGGTATTTTTAGTGCTACTCTTCATAAGTTTTACCTTTGTTTTCTTTTTCTGTGACACTTTCAGGCATGATCTCTGCTCCCATGACAAGGAAATAGATTTTTGTGATATTACATGTCTGCTCTGTGGTGTTATGTTTTGCAGGACAAGAGACTGACACGTACCCCATTCCATGCTCTGTCACCAACTGAGCGGGAGACCTACAATAACCGCAGAAAGTTGCTGGAGTACCTTAGTGACCGGCTTCGTGAATGTGTCATCGCAAGAGAAAAACAGTGGGATAGGGAAGAACTTCGAAGGCTCAAACTTTGTGAGTTCAAGTTAAACCTTTTTTAAGCTGCACAAATATTATACAGTGCTTTATGAAACTGGCACACACCACAGTGAGACTAGAGTGCCTGGTAAGAACATGCTTTCCCTTCAGTTAGGGTGGAAAAAAAAGTAGTCCTAGTCAACAAAAAATGTGAGATGCAACATCAGAATGTGAGCTGGCATAATGGAGAGTTTGAGTGTCAGACTAGGATCTGGGAGACCCCGATTGGAAACCTCACTCTGCTGTGGAAGCTTGCTGGGCAACCTCGGGCCAGTCATTCTCTCACAGCCTCATTTACCTCACAGGAATGTTGTGAGGTCACAGGAATGTTGTGAGGATAAAAGGGAAGAGGGAAATACGAAGTAAGCTGCTTTGGGTCCCTATTGGAGAGAAGAGTTGGAGATTAATATCTAAAATAAAATAAACCCGTGCACTCAGAGTTCACCTACCTTTGTTAGTCTCCATTTGCAAGGGGTGGGGAAACTTGCAATGTGATGTCAGGCCATGTATTTTAGTTTGCTAGACGTTACAGGGAAGAGGGAGAGAAGAGGACATGTGAGGCTGGTGCCGCCTCTGATGGCAGCTGTAAGTCTTCTTAAAATCACTTCAGCTTTAGACTTGGAAGGTTTGGCTGAACTTATGAAGCAGTAAGAAGACCACACTGAACAAGCCATTTGAAAGTCTTGCAATAGTCCTCACATGTATGTACATCCATTTTTAAGTTAAATTTTTTTCTTAATTTAATTCATTTTTGCTTTCATATGCAACAGCGGCAAAAAAGAAATCAGCAGGATCTGCAGGAGTGATACATGAAACTGATGCAGTATGGTAAGATCAGTGTAACTAAATGCATCTTGTTCATAATAGCATACATAGTACATAGCTAGCCTTATCTTATAGGGTTGGTGTCCCAACCCTGTTTAATCGATTTTTTAATTTTGTTATTTGTCTCAGAAACCAAGATTTCCCTGCCATTCTAATCACAGTTGGTTTTATCTTATCTTTTCCCTGCATAGTATTAGAGCTGCCCCCTTCATGCCTAGTTTGGTCCTAAAAGGGAATCATTTAAAGTATCTTTCATTTGTGGCCTGTGTCTGTCTCTGTGATGTCATCATTGCGGCAAGAGCTATCAGTATTGAGCATGCTGATTTATGGTAATTTCAGACATCAAGGAGAAAGGAAATTCTTTATCGCAGAAGACATGAGTATACTTCTTTTGGTCACTTTTCTGAATTGGACCAAGTTTGCGTTTTCAGTGTTGACCCATTCTGCTTTCCCCTTCTTCTTCTTCTTCTTTTAAAATAACATTTTATTAAAAGTTGCTTTCCCCTTCTTAATTAGCCACTTGACTAAGAACATAAGAAGAGCCCTGCTGACTCAGACCAGTAGTCCATCTAGTCCAGTATCCTATTTCCTAAAGTGGCCAACCAGTTGCCTTGGCCAACTGGGCGTAGAGGCCAAGATGTTCTCCTCATGCTCCCTAATGTTCCCTACCTTATTTGACTCTATGTCCTCTGATATACAAAGCAGCACTGCCCCCAGCATATCCCTCCTGTGTGTACAGTTTATATTCAGGAGTAATTGTACCCCGGTGATTTTCCCCATTCCACCAAGTTTCTGAAACGCCCACTATAAATAAGTTGTTGTTTAGTATCAAGTGCTCAAATGTCTCTATCTAGCCCCAGAGGCTTCTAGCTTTAGCATGTGGCATTTGTACCTCGTTTCCTCCTCTAAGAAATCCCCATCTCCCTCCCTGATTGTGTGCTGTGTCGATTCCAGAAAGTTAATGTGTAAATAATTCACTGAATTTTTTTATATTTTTCTATTGCAGTCCTTTCTTTAAATATTGCTCTCAGTGTGGGCGATCTGTAGGTGTGAACCTCACACCTTGCACACGCTGTTATGAGAACTTTGCCTGCAGCAAGTCTTGTAAAGTGAAAGCATGGAATGAGCGTCATAAACGAGAATGTTTGCTATCAGGTATGGTTTGTTTGATGGTGGGATGCAAAGCCAAGGTGTGGCCAGTACTTGTTGCAACAATATTGCTGGGCTGAAGTCTATTGCTAGTGATGCTACAAAGGTTAGTTGCCTGTAGGGCAACTTTGACTCACTTCTCTACTTTCAGGCAGCATCTGTTTATTAAACAGTCTAATAACTTTTTACAGTAGCAGCAACAGTTAGATCTTGTTAAGAAAAATGAGTCAGTGTGATAGATTAGCAACTGATTTGTAATGGATACACCCATGTTTTCATTCTACATCTGGTTTTTGGAAGAAAAATCATCATTTATTAACTTTGGCTTTTAGTCTTCATGGCTTTTTCCTACTTCTTTGACTCGGATGCATCATGTCCCTCTTGGAAAGTCTTGCAATATGCATAATTTGTCAACAGTCCGAAAGAAAACACAGCCTTTACCACAAGAAAATGCTCAGGATTTTGCCAGTGGATTTACCTAATGTACCTGCAATATGTTGTCTTCTCCTCATCTTGTGAGACTGTAAATATGAACTTTACAGAAGAAGATATTGAGGGAAATGAGTTCTGGAATCCACTTACAGTTCTCCTGTGATGTAATTTACTCTAAACGGAAAAAAAAATAAGCTGAAATGTTGCAAGGTGTGAATAATCCAAACACAACTAATGCTGTATGTACAAAAATCAACTGCATCACTTATCTGTGTGGAAAGTGGAATTGAATTCAAGAGTCATATGTTTTTGGACACAATGGGATCAATACAGAGACCAGGAAGTACTGGAGTTTTATCTGTCTTCTGTGAAAATAAATGTTCTATGTCAATACAGGCATCTAGGGAAGCCTGAGGTGCTTATTGAAACTGCTGAATCATGGTCAGGCTTTGTACCTGTTTATGTCATGGTATTTTTGTGTACAGTTGTTATGTATTTGTCACCTAACTCTGATTGAAATATGCGGGCTGCCAAAAAAATAGTTGTGTGTGGCAGTGCTCCATGTGGGAAGAATAACATTGGTAAGCAAGTTACTTTGGTGGGTGAACACATAGAACTCCCTCGGACACATGAAGGTGCCTTATTCATAGTCAGACTGTTGGTCTTTCAAGGTCAGTATTGTATGCTGTGAGTGACAATTGTTCTCCAGGGCCTTACAAGCTGAGTTCTTTCACATTTCTAGTACCTGATCCTTTTAACTGGAGATGTTGGGGATTGAGGCTGGGGCCTTCTGCATCCAACACAGATGCTCTGCCACTGAGCCACAACTCCTCTCCTAAATTGGTCACATTAAATGTGATTTGGCCAGCTCTCTTTCCACTCTTTGTGGGGAGCAACTGATGGGACACGATGCGATGACTCCCAGTCATGTGATAGCTTGTTTACAAATGTTACAGTTTCAATATAGAACACCACCACAGAGGTGCTTTGGGCACCTCCCATGTGGGTTCTGTATTGTTTGAAGAAACCCACTGTGTATCAGCATTCATAGTTCTGATGTGTAATATCAAGGTGTACCTGCACTTATTCCAAAATCATCGGCTTTAGCTAAAGCCTGTACTCTTGACAACAGACTTTTCACCAAAGTCAAACACAAATGTGCTGTGCTGTGCCACCTTGAGCTTCCTTCAGATTTTCTTTGCATTATCAGCCTCGATTCTGTTCAAAAACTGTTGATTTAATTTGAAGCTCAGGTGCAAGTTTTTAAAAACTCAGTCTTGTACAATGTGTCCATTGCCAAATGATGGATCTAGAATTCATCACAGTAACACGTGTGCCCTCATTATGTGACTGAAATAAATGATACAAATTGCACGAAATTTACTTAATATCACTATTTGGATTGAATCTGTCCCTCCTCCCCGGCAGGATATGGTACTTTTAAAATTAAAGGTAGATGAGAATGGGGCAAGAGGATATGTTATTTTGGGAACTATCCCTGTATATTGTAGATAGAAAGCAGTTTACAGAATGTCAGCTCCTTCCCTTGGCCCCTGTAAGGCATAAGAGGCAAAGTTAGAGTTTCTGGAACAGCTAGCCTTTAAGGTCAGCTAGTAGACTGATAAGAGAATCTCATCATAGTGAAGGCCAGACTCTTTAAAATAAACCAGATCCAAGTTAATGATATTGTTAGAGGATTTCTGCTGTCATAAATGTATTCTTTAGGTATTGAGCGTACAGTCATTTCAAGCCTAGGAGGTGAGTGTAACATATGTGGGCTCTCGATAATTGATATTCAGTTCTGTTGAAATTAGATTAGAAGCCTCATTCAAATGAATTAAAATCTTGGAAAAGGATACATAAATGGGCTACATTAATTCTGTGCATGCAGAAAAAGTGAAGATTGTGTAGTCTGTATATACATTTGAAGTGGACCTGACATTTTGTTTTCTAGAACTATTCAGTTCTTCCTGAATTACATTTGGAAGCTTATGTGTTTGCTCATGTGATGAGAAAATGCTTTAAAAATCCTTAAAAGTATGATTGAAGAATGAAGATACAAAGAAGAATGAAGATACTGAGAACTTGGTGTAGGAATCTCATTACTTGAATGGGAGCAATCAAGTACAAGGCTTTCCCAGTCTTTCAGATACTGAAACAGAGATGTGCCAGTTTTGAAAATCAGATTTTTTTTAGTCGTACTGCCAACAGGTATACTGGAAAAGCAAAGACCTAGGAAGAAGCTGGCTTATTGTTGTTGTCATTTTACTGAACAGTGTGCCATAGATGACACTGGTAAAGACTTCGGTTTACTATACTGGAAGATGGATCTAGCATTCCTTTACTTATGAGAAAGTGGTGCTAAGTATGCCAGTTTGCTGAGAGATACTTTGATGAAAAAGAGCTGCACCAAGATTAACAAACTTGCTTCAGACTGAAAACCGTGTTAGTTAGTTATAATCCTCAAATTCAGTTGTATTTGAAATTTACAGGGGGAAGGTTAGAGTGGTTAACCATGTCAGAGTGGTTAACAAAGCAAGCCAGCAAATAAGTTTTTTCTATCATCTGTTCTATAGAAGGATTTACTGCCCATTTTCTGCCCTCAATGTTTAAACTAAGAATGTAGAGGGAGGGGAAGAAGAAAAAGAAGAGATTGGATTTATACCCTGCCCTTCAGTCAGAGTCTCAGAGCTGCTTACAAACTCCTTTCCCTTCCCCTCCCCACAACAAACACCCTGTGAGGTAGGTGGGGCTGAGAGAGCTCTGACAGAAACTGCTCTTTTTCAAGAACACCTCTGACAGAACTATGGCTTGCCCAAGGTCATCCAGCAGGTGCAAGTGGAGGAGTGAGGAATTAAACCCGGTTCTCCCAGATTAGAGTCTGCGCACTTAGCCACTACACCAAACTGGCTCTTCTGGAGGAGGTATCCCAATGACATTATTATTGGTATTATATTGTTGCGCAATGGAGATTGAGAGTTGGTGACTTGCTGAAAATCAGCCTGTGATTCCATGGTGGAGCAAGTATTTGAACCCACGTTTATAAACAGCATTCCATCACTGGACTACACAGCTCTGTCAGAACAAAGCCCTGGATTGTTAAACAGGATTTAATTGAGATCTGTTCCACTCCATCTCCACGGCTTCTGTCAAAGAGCAACAAAGACAACAAACCCTACTCCTTTCCAAACATCATGTGAACAGCTGAAAACATCATTTGAGATGTGGTTTAAGTGAAAATGAATGGAAAACTGGTTGGTAGCTTTCAGCACTAGTTGCTAATTATTCATTTGTTGAGTTTCCAGTGATCATTGCTGTAGAAACATGAGGATATGCTCATACGAACATTATTGACTAGTTTTAGATATTAACAGTATGTGCCTTATCACTGTATAAGAGCACATGCCCCATTTTTCTGATCAAGGAGAAGTTTGTTTGGAGAAGCAATGAGGTAGCATTGAAGTATTCTTATTGGCCTTGCCCTACATTGAGCGGTGGTGGAGAACTAACATTTCCATTAACTGTTCTAGAATAGAGATTTCACATTTCTCTTTAAAGAGGAGTGTCTCTGTTTGCCCTGTCTTCATTTTTTACATTTTCTCTCAAGGGCAACACAGCTGGAGTTGAAGTACATTCTAAACATTAACATGAAGTTATTTGTTCATGTGAACATAGTCTCATAGAACTGCATTTGTGCAAAGACCAGCTACAAACACAGTGAAGGTCTGAAACGATGTCATTTTTATTTGCTGTGTAATATGTTTTGAAATTCTTGTTAAAATAGAAACGTGTCCTGTATGAAATGTATGAAACAAGATCAGGGTTCTTTGTTATTGCCAAGATCTCAGTAAATTGAATGCATGATGAATAGTGTATAGCAGCTATTGCATTTCACATATCCATAGAAGGAACAGTTCCTTTGAGGCAGTCACAATATTTTCTTCGTTTGAACATTCTGAAATGTCTTTGCACCTTGTTTTACTGCTGCAAAAGATGGTCCATCTTCATCTGAGTCTGATGATGAATCAGAATTGGAGCCAGTGATAGAGCATATAGGTAAGTTTTCACTAAGCAAACTTAGCTTTCTAGTGGTACATGTTGTTCAGTGATGGTACCAATATGCTGCTGCTGCTGGATTTTTCTTTTCTTTGCTGCTGGAATAGCTGTATTGTTTTGTAGTCTTATTGGTTTGCACTGGTTGCTTTTAAATATAGATCCTTTTGTTGATGCTTATACTCATATATTGCAAATGAAGGAGCATTAATTTGAAGAGGTCTGTGGTATAAACACTGAAAACAAAACAAAATCACAGAACTCTTCTATGGGTTACAAACTAACCAAGCAAAGAAATGTTCATGTGTTTTAAAAACTGAGAAGAAGCAGGCTGGAAACTGCTAGTTGGCATATGTTCAAGGGATTTTAAGCATGAGGAAAACAATTAACTACAGTATATTTTTTATGATTACAGTGTGTTGAAGGTCTGATCACTATGGGGCACGAAGAACAGTTCAGCAACCCCTCTACCAATGAGAACATTTTTCATTTTGATGGTGTTTCATTGGCACTAGGGATGGGCACGAACCGAACCACGAACCTAATTTTTCTATGGACCAGGGCCCAGTTCGTAGTTAGTTTGCCCAGTCTGTGCCTTCTTGCATTCCACAGACTGCCTACAGACCACCCATGGATTTCTGGAGGTTCATTTGGTCCATAAGCTGTCCGTGGAACTCTGAGTCCACTTCTGCAACTTGTCTCTGTGGAGGCATAATGTGAGATCAGAAGGCATTTGTGGACTCAGAAGGCATTTGTAAGCTCCCCTATCATGAATCTCATTAACCACAAACTAGTTTGTAAAATGGAAATGTTTGTGAAAGTTCGTGATCCACAAACCTCCATTCTTTCCGTCCCTGCCCATCCCTAATGGGCACCATTTTCTTGTTAGGACCACTCTCTACTATACTGCAGTTTCCCAATCAATCAGGGATCACCTGGGGACATGATGAAATTGCAGTGCTTTGTATCCGGTTTTAGACTATGTGCTGACATCACTGAGGCTTTCCTGGTCTGATCACATGGGTGATCCCAACTAAGTATGTGAGTCATCTAGGCCAGTTGTCTTCCATCCCCACAGGTTGTAACCCTCAGTGGAGGGGTTGTGGATCCTCACTGTGTGGATTGCAAGATACTATAGAGCTACCCTTTTTTTCTTTAAGGACTTGCTTGCTAGTGTGTATGCACAGAGATCAAGGGCAATATGCTTTCACCCTCTCCTTGCACACATGCTGAGAGGAATAGTAAGTTGGAAAGGTGAGATCACTCAGTGGTGGAAATGATTCCTTTTAAGCACAATAAAAATTAAGAGACCTACCCTCTCCTTTGCCTTCTATCCTGGCCCAGCCTGTATGCTTGTGTGAAAATGCTTGCCTCCAAGTCCAGTCAGTCACAGCTACCACATCCCATAAGTCAATCCTCCGGTGCTACACACATGCCTATACTTTGGAGCTTCCCACCCCACTAGTGAGACCATAAGTGTGGCTCCTCTTCCTGTCATGTGATGACTGTGATGTCATCTGGTTGCAGCTCACTGGGTCCCATGCTGCTTCTTGGGGTTAAATGTAAGTCCTGAGTTTGGAAAGGCCGAAGATCACTTTTCTAGGCAAGAAGCAGTAGTGTTGAGCGGTAGTTTATTCTGCCAGTGCTGTATGGTTACTGTATTTCCTCTCCCATCCACAATCTCCCCTTTCAGTTAGTTTGCTCAGCATACTTCCCTTTCCTTAATGCCATTTATATAAAAAGGTATTCTCTTTCTGCCTTATTCATTAAAACAGAATTACTCCCCATTTATTTTTTCACAATTATTAAAATAGATCTGATCCATTTGGTGTTAATAGGCAGTTGGAAAATTGTGGGAAGTCATTTTAAAGCTTTAGGTTTGGTAGATAGTATGTTTCTCTGAACTATGGACGTGTGTGATGGTATGGTCTGCTAGCAACATGGCTCTGAATGCTATGGATGGGTGGAGACAAAACTATTGTTACAGAGCAGACAATGCAGTTTCTCAGGCGATATATACTAGGAAGTATTGCTGATTTGGAGTTAAAAGTTTTCATATAATGAGAGTTATAGCAGTACTTTAACCAGCCTAAAGGCTATGATGGGTAAGAGTCAGATCATAAGTAAAGATAAAACAAATACCCAGTGTTTTAAATGGTTTGGATGGGGGAAGGGGGTGATCCCATTGGAATTGTTACTCTGGAGCTGCTATTTCACTTTTATTTCAGTAATATTTGTAAGTGTGTGAACCACACTGCTGTGTCATGTGAGCAGTCTAAGAACACTCCATTCCAATTTGTCAAAGATTTTTTTTACGTATCTGGGGTAAATGTGAAGAAAGAGAATATAGTTTCACAAGAAAATAAAGCCACCATTTTAGCCAGAGTAAGCTGAATGAACAGTATATTATGTACAGATATCTTTCTCACAAGCCCGTGGGTCACTGTTGAGCAGGGGTGTCAAACATGAGGCCCATGGGCCAGATCAGGCCACCAGAGGGCTTCTATCAAGTCCGCAGTGGAACTGTCTGTCTCCTGCTTCTTCCAGTTCTGCTGCTGCTGCTGTGTCATAGCTTGCTTTCCCAGACTCTCTCAGTCACTCAGGAGAGATAGGCAACTTTCTGTTCCTTGCACTGGCTGAGCCTCCTCCCCTCCCCTCCCCTCCCCCTCTCAGGGGGAGGGAAGGAAGGAGCCAGAGCTTGCTTCCTGGCCAGGCTGCCTCAATTGCACAGGAAACAAAGGCAAGCCTTTCTTCCCCTCCATTGGCTAAGGCTCTTCCCTGAAGGGAGGGAGGGAAGGATGGAGAGCTTACTTCGTTTGGCTGCCTCAATTATAGGGGAGAAATACAAAGCACCTTTAAGACAAACAAAGTTTTATCCAAGGTATGAGCTTTTGTGTGCCTTGCTATGGTGTGTGTTTTGGGCTTGTTATGCTGTGGCTCTCCTGGGTGCAACTAGGTTCCCTCCCCCTTTTCACTGTATTCATGCCCTCATAATCCAGTCTTTCTCAGTACGAAAGCAATGTGAACTATTTAAATGAGGAATAACAACAAGCCAGTGAGGTAGATTAGGCTGAGAGAGTGTGTGCAGACCAAGTTCACCCAGCACATTTCCTTTGGGCATTTTAACTTAGACTTCCCAGATAGTAGCCTGATACTGACCGCTGAGGAAGACTATAGTTTTGTAGACAAACACATTGCCCTCAGTCTGTGTCATTTTGCCCTCTCATGTTATTGACCAGCATTCGAAGCACTTTATGTATAAAAGCTCACAATGCCCAGCCATTTCATGTTTTCCTCTGGGTCCTAGGCTCAGAACTCTGAGGATGAGATTTCTGTAGTGAATATCAGTAAATCAAGAGTAGGTTTGCAGCTTACAGATACATGCTCGAACAGCATACTCGAGATTACAACAGCACAGACATTTTGATGCAGTAATTCAGAGCAAGAGGTGTCAGTTATCAGACACTGTTAAATACACAAAATATTGCAAGAGTGCTAATGTTTTAAGCATGTTTTTATTTTAAATAAAAAAATCTTTGTGTTTGTGTCCTTTATAAAGTTTATATCTCTGCTACCTGGCATTACATGTTTTGACACACATGGCCCAGCCCAACCAGGTCTCATTTATGTCTGATCTGGCCCTCATAACAAATGAGTTCGACACCCCTGGTGTAGAGTGTTGTTAGCACCTGAGGACTGACAAGCATCCGTTATTTTTCTGAGACTTTTGAGGGGTTTCAGGAGGGGAGAGGGTCTTGAACAAATTAAAGGGAAGAGGATTGGGATGCAACACTTCCCATATCAGAGACTTCAAAGCCAATAATGTTTTGCAAGAAAGGATAGTGTTGGGCACTTTTGGATGGTGAGTAAAGTCCTTATTTCTTTTGGGAAAGGTGCAAAGAATTTGGGTTAGCTGGATCTGAGCTGGGCCACCAGTGATCAGTGTATGTGGTCCCATTGTCACTGGATAATGTGCTCATTTAATAGTACTTGTCTGAAAGATTGGAGTTCTTTGTACAAATGACAATCATTCTTAAATAATCACCACTCTGTAATTCACTACATTGAAGAAATGTAGCTAATAACTTTATGATAATCCCATGTAACAAAGGTGTATTTTGTTTTGGGTTTCTTTTTCCCACAGTAAGGCGAAAGGTCCGGTCCAAAGTCAAAGCAGCTCCCATTGAAAAGCGAAAGCAGGGAAAAGAAGGCAAAGATGGAGTAGCCAAAGCTGGAAGAGCCAAACCTGAAAAAGAGAAAGTGAAAAAGAAACCAAAAGACGACAAGATGATTAAAGTTTCTGGCGAAATCAGTAATCAAGCAGATCTCCCTTACACAGGGAACTATAGTTACATTTGAATGCCAGCATTTTTACTTTGATATCCTGCAGCTGCAACTTGATGTGAATAATGCAATATAAGGAAGCTGAAAAAAAGAGACTAGAAAATGTGACTTCATAGAACACCTGCATTCTTGTATCAGTGGTAGTAAAAAGCCATTTGGTGTATTTTAAAACTGACTGATGCCAGGTAATTTAATTCACAATTGCAGAAGTGACCTACTGAAATGCAACTTCATTGAACAAGCATGAAACCAAACCCTGTAATGTGAAATTTATAAATAGTTCAAAAGATTTTGGCCTGGGATTTGGTTGTTGACCTCAAGCAATTAGAAGCCACAAATACCAAAAATTCCTTTGTCCTTTCAGTGCCACAATCTTTGGCCAATATAGCTCCTTGTAAAGGAGCTTTCTATGTTGGGGGTGCAAATGTATATTTTTATAACACTACAGTTTTCAGTGGAAGCTCAAGGAATAGCCTTTCAGTATATGTGCTCCCTTCCACAGAGAATACACCTCCAAAAGGGACCCAGGGCATGCATAATGCCTTTCTAGAGATCTAACAGTTTTGTTTGTGCTTCAACAGGCATGTGGAGAAGTTGATTAGGTGGACTCTTTAAAAAAATGTAGATACAAGAGGAAAATAAACAGTGGTCCAGCAAACTCTTGACACATGCCCTTCCTAGTTGTTAACCCATTTGATTTAAGGATCAAGCCCTTTACTGAAAGATGTAGGGCATGGATTTGAGGGCCTGAAACAGAGGAATCTGTGACCCAAATTCTCTGTTTTAAACAGGAAATGTATTGATCTTAAGTTTAATTGTCAAACATTTGGTAGTCTAACTGGCACCCATTATTTTCAAATGTGGACTGATTGATAGTGAGTCATCTCAATAGCTATGCAATAGTGACCTTGCAGTTACAGGTCCTGTTGCAGCTGGCCTTTTGGTTTATATGTTGTGTGAAAAGAAGCCCAAACAGAGCTTCTGAGCTACATTCCAATAGAGGAGTATTTGAAAATCACCTATTTATTTTATTTTGATACCACTGTTGCAACATTGTGCACAATTTGTTTGTATGATTCTATTTGTATTATGATTTTATTATTATGATTTTAGATGTTGCATTGTAAATTTATTTTGGAAGTATTTTAATTTTCTATTTTAATAATAAACAAATAGAACACATGTTATTTCATTGTTGTTTTCTGTAAGTAGTATTCCATGTAAAATATTTGACTTTTAGTGCAATATTCAGTTATGTTCTTAATTATTGTTGTGACTTTTGTTATAGTGTGAACCAAATTCAGACCAAGTCTCCTTAACTCTACATACTTCATCCTGGTTATTTTTATCTATATTGAGGAGACGGTATATAATTATGATCTCTGTATGTGCAAACTTTGTATAGTATATGCATAGGAGTCTTTTAAAGAGCTGTTTAAATCAATAAATACTTTAAAAAAGAGATGTACTCTTACTTGGTTTTTCTGAGATTAACGTGTACATAACTCAATGGTCTTATTTAGTATCATTATTCAATTTGATTTTAGACCACCCTCCCCCAGAGGAACTGGGCTCAGGGTGATGCACAACCTGATATCATATAAACATTGTTAAAAACAGATCAAAACCAGTAAAACACAAGACTACCAAAAGATGGCGTTAAAATTTTCTGATGGTATCCCTGGCCTCACAGGGAGGCAGGGGATGGGAGTGCCTGAACGGATGAAGCCGTCACTGTCCTCAACCAAATGCCTGGCGGAACATCTCTGCCTTACAGGCCCTGAAGAACTGTATCGGGTCCCGCAGGGCACAAATGTTATTCGGCAGAGCGTTCCACAAGGTTGGAGCCAGGTGGAGAACACCCTGGCCCTGGTTGAGGACCGCCAGATATCTCTCGGACTGGGGACTGCCAGCCAATGCTCCCTCTAAGCTGTGGAGTCTTGTGAGCCAAAATTCTATTTTGTGAGCTACTGGCATTAAAGTTGTGAGTGAGCAATTTGGCTACTGCATAAATTAGTTTGCTCTGGAGCCATCCTTCCTAAGCTAAGTCAAATATGTGTTAACTGGAGGCTAAAAAACTGTGAGCTAGCTCACACTAACTCAACTTAGAGGGAACACTGCCACCAGCAGATTTTGGCCTTTTGAGCACAATGCTCTGTGGGGAGGGTATACCAGGAGAGGCGGTCCCGAGGATATGTGTGTCCTGCACCGTTAAGGGCCTTAAAGGTCAGTAGCAGAACCTTTAATTTGATCTGGTATTCCACTGGAAGCCAGTGCAGCATGCACAGCACAGGGTGCATGTGTGCTGTATGCAGAGTCCCTGTAAGGGTAGGCCCACGTAGAGCAAATTAACAGTAATCCAGGCCAGAGGTGACCATTGCATGGATTACTGTGGCTAGATCGGGGTGAGACAGGTAGGGGGCCAGTTGCCTGACTTGGAGCAGTTGGAAGAAAGCCAGTCTGGCAACATTTGTGACCTGGGCCTCCATTGTTAAGGAGTCATCCAGCATCACACCCAGGCTCTTAACGGTTGGTGCTGGTTTCAATGGCACACCGTCAAGAACCAGGAGTGGGCACCCCAAACCAGAATCTCCCCATCCCAACTACAAAACCTCAGTTTTAGGATTCAGTTTCAGCTGGCTGTTTCAACCATCCCACCACAGCCTCTAGCCCCGCAGCCAGTTTTCCTGGGGCAGAGTCTGGCCTACTGCCCATCAGCAGATAAAGCTGGGTGTTATTAGTGTACTGGTGACACCCCACCAGTTGGGCAAGGGGGTGCATGTAGATGTTTAATGACATCAGGGAGAGGATTGCCCCCTAAAGGACCCCACATATCAAGGTGACTTCCTCTCTCCCAGCACCACCCTCTGTCCCCAACCTTGGAGAAATGAGGTAAGCCACTTCAAGACTACCCTGAGAACTCCTATGTCAGTGAAGCAGTGAACATAACATAAGAACATAAGAGAAGCCAATGTTGGATCCGGCCAATGGCCCATCTAGTCCAACACTTTGTCACACAGTGGCCAAAAATACCAGGTGACATCAGGAGGTCCAGCAGTGGGGCCAGGACACTAGAACAAGGTCAGACACTAGGACAAGGTCAGAAGATCATGATCGACCATGTTGAACGCTGCTATAAGGTCTAACAATATCAACAGCACCAACCCACCTCAATCTAGCTGTCTGTGGAGCTCATCTATGAGGGTGACCAAAGCCATCTCTGTCCCATGGCCGGGGTGGAAGCTGGACTGGAATGGATCCAGGGCTGATGTGTCTTCCAGAAAACTCAAGCTGGTCTGCAACCACTCTCAGTTACCTTACCCAGAAATGAAAGGTTTGAGACTGGGTGGTGATTGGATGGATCTGAAAGATCCAACGTTGGCTTTTTAAAAAGTGGTACAACCACAGCCTCTTTTAATCCCCCTGGGTAGGCCCCCGAATCTAGGGACAGATTGATAATGTCTACCAGGGTACCCTGGATCCCCTTGCTGCTGTCTTTCACTAGCCATGAGGGACACTGGTTGGCCTAACAGCACCCTGGATCCTGTCAACATTGGCCTGGGAGAGTCGGCTGAAGCTATCAAATACTGAATCCAAAGAGGGCCAAGGGGCCTCCAGTTCACTTACTGTATTCAATATTGGTGGGGAGGCTTACTTAGTAGCTCTGCTGGTTGCAGAAGCCAGGTGCTGGATACAGGTTCTCCTCAATAGCAGCTTATTGTGCCCCTGGCTGCAGATTTGTGCATAGAAAAACCTGTTTACGTGCATGGATCTCTGTTGCATGATCTTGACACCCAATCCCTTTGAATACCACCCCCATTGTGAAATAACAGCAGCACATAAACTTTTCCATTAGCTTTAAACAACAGTGCAGAAAGGTGTGCACAGCTTTCCACTGCTTTTGTGATTCTTGGAATCATGACAAGGGACTTTAGTATACTCAAACTCCAATCCTAAATCTTTTTTTTTTTTTTTAAAAAAGAAGTGATGGAAAAATTCCGTTTTGCTTGATTCAGAATTGGTTTGGGATTTATAAATGTTTTTGGTGAGTATTTGGGAAAAGCTCTTCTGTTTTTTCGACTGCAGTGCTGACAAATGCAAGCTGGTGGTGCTGTAAGCATCATATTTCCCATGGGCAGTTTGGTTTTACCCATCTTGCACCTCCTTCTTCAACACCAGCCACAGTGGAGAGCCACTCAGCAACTGAATCTCCTCCCTAAACACACACATACCTAAAAACAGGATGGAGTTTTACATCTGGATGGGGTATAGCAATGACATAAAATGTGTGCTGGGAACAAAGTTAACCAACATGGAGAAGACAATGAGTAAAAGTCAGTTTGGTCATCTGGTCTTGTCACATTATCCACAACAATCAATGACAGCTTCATCAAGGGTAATGGTATTAACATTAAAACCTTTGTGTATTGACCTAAATAGCAGAACATTTTGTAGCTCATGTAGCAGTCAATGAGAGTAAGGTTGCTTTAGGCACCTAGTCTGTTGAACACTGATTGCAGACTCTCATTTAGCATTTTTAATAAAATAAATTATGGGGAATTGGCACATTATGCATAACATCACCAAACATTATCAGAGGACCAAATTTGTATAGTGAACTAGGTAATTTTTAATTGTGGCCACATGACTAAAAGTGAGTGCAAGTATGACAGCTGTTTGTGGGGACTACTGATACACTTTACCTGGTCCAGAGCTTCTTTTTGGCGGGTATAACACAAGGCCCTTCACCAGACCACCTATTGCTGCTATTTGGACTATACTGCTGTGATGTAATGGCTACCACATGGGCAAAGAATCCTGTGAATCACCAACCATAGAAATGTACATTTTTGTTTAAAGCTAAGGTGTACTCTGGATATAGTTGTACTGTCAGATTTGAATCAGCCCTATCTTTCACTGCAAGAAAAATTAATTGAATAGTAGAAAGCTAGAAAAGACCACATGGTCCATCCCTTGGAACATCATACGCTAAGAGCCAGTGTGGTGCAGTGGTTT